AAACATGTGCTCTCATCAATTCCTCTTCACATAATGGCTGTTCACTGCATCCCTAAGTCCATTAAGAAGATGCTGGAGAGGAAAATGGCCAATTTCTTGTGGGGAAATAAACAAGGGAATTCTAAACATCACTGGAGTAAATGGAGCAAGTTATGTGCTCCTACAGAGGAAGGAGGGCTGGGAATCAGGAGTCTTGAGGATACTCAAGAAGCATATTCTATTAAACTTTGGTGGAAGGTTCAGACTGATGAAACCCTATGGGCTAAATACATGAGAGCCAGGTATATGAAGCTGAATTCCATCCAAGAAAGAATCCATGACTCACCAGTTTGGAAAAGGATTTGCAGGGTAAATATCACAGCCTCAACTCAGACCAACTTAAATGGAGATCAGATTTCTTGGAAAGATGGTGATTTCACACTCAAGAAAGCATATAACATATGCAGGGACAGTAAGCCATCACAAATCACCTACTCATTCTGCTGGAATAAGAATCAAGTCCCAAAAGTAAAATTTTTCCTATGGAGAGCTATTAACTCCTATCTTCCTTTTGCAATGGAACTGAAGAACTTAGGTTTTCAACTGGCCACCCAATGTCCCCTTTGCAAGTGTAATGAAGACACCAAAGACCATGTTCTCTTCCAATGCTCTTGGAGCCAAAGCATTTGGCAATTCTTCACTCAAGCAGTGGATGGTCCTAATCCTAGAAATCATCTAAACTTCAATCAAAATATTATGGAATGGAACCTCTCTCACAGAAGAACATCCCTAAAAGGTCAATTGAGAAGTATTCTTCTGGGGATAATATCTTGGCACATATGGAAAGAATTCAATAGGAGCAGATTTGAAAATGAAGCACCCAACTCGCAGAGAGTTAGAAAAGGAATATTCAACACTATTCACACTTGGAGTTGGGGGAAGAGAAACAAAAGTTGGATGGTTTTGGATGAAAGCCTTACTAACCTTGGATTCACCTTGTTTTTCCAATCGGGAAGGAATCTACATCACAAGGAAGCTAAACGGCGAGGAATGCGGAACATATTAAGCAGGCCAGGTGAAGAAGTCGAAGCTGTTGAAAATCTTTGGTGAAGAAGACGATGATTTTGAAGAAGATGAAGATGTTGGGAGAAGTATTATGTTGGGTTCTTCCGTGAACTTTTCTTGTATTAGTTGTGATGTTCTAATTAGTACATGCTTTTTGTTTTCTTCATCCTCTTGTATTTTGTTTTTACTTTCGGGGCGTTGGTTTAGTCCTCCTCGAATGTGTACTTCTCTGTCTTTTTAATAAATTTGGTAAGGCCGGCCTGGACCTTACCCCACCGATTTTGGTGGTTCTCTTCCGGGTTATATATATATATATATATATATATATATATATATATATATATATATATATATATTAGGGGTGTTTATCGGGTCAAACATAGACAAGACCAGCCTGGATCGGGACCGAATAAGGGGCATTTGGTGGACTGAGGACCAGGGTACTTGTTTTGTCCTTCAAAGAATCAATAGTATTAAAAAAACAATAGAGAGAAGTATATAAATATGAGTAAAAGATGATGAAAGTTGTCTCTCCTACACTGCACATTGCCACCGTAGCACCGCCACGCTGTCATCATAGCACTGCCAGTGCCAGTGCTAACCACCCTTGACGGGTGGTCCACTACTACACTGCTAGTACACTCCACCATGACACGACCATCATTTACAATACCAATATCTTATTTATAAGAGAAAAATAATGCACTTGATCTTATTTTGATATTTTGATGACAATTTACTCCTATCTATGTATATTTCTTAATATAATAATCCCTTCGTCCCTAAGAGATTTTTTCGATTACTATTATGGTTTCTTGATAAATGTTGTTTATTTATCTATTTTCACTGATTATTTTAAATAATAAAATATTATGATCACATCTTGTGTTTTAAATTCTTTGATAAATGTTTCAATATTACGTAGTAGTTTGTAAATAAATTAGTTAAAAAAAAAGGTTCAAAGAGTGAATATCTTTGAAGGACAAAAGAAGTACTCCGTATTAATTTACTTGTTAGCTACCACCACACTGTTCCTGCCTATTCCAAAATTATTTTCACTTTAAATTTGTGTTTGGTTGGATGTAAAATATTTTGTATGAAGAATATTTTCCTAAAGAAAATATTTTTCAAGGAAAATTATTTTCCAATCTTATTTTCCGTTGTTTGGTAGGAAGGAAAATATTTTCTAAAAAAACAATCATTTCTATTTTTACTCCATCTGTTTTTAAAAAGAGTTCCTCCACTTTTTTCGTTTCTCCAAAACACTTCCTTTTTTCTAAATTTAAAAATTAAACTTTAAATTTAAAAACTAAAAATAAAGTTTAAGTTTAAAATTTAAAATATAAAACTATAGTCTAAATTTTAAATTTAATCTTTAAAGTACAAAATATAAAATTTAAATTTAAAATTTAAAATTTAAAATATAAATTTAAACTTAGAAATTAAGAACTTGAAATTAAAAATTAAAATTTAATATTTAACGCTTAAAATTAGAAATTTAAAATCTAAGTTTAAAATTTAAACTTTAAAATTTAAAATTTAAAATTTAAAGTTCAAAATTAAAATTTAAATTTTAGAATTTAAAATTTAAAAATTTCCCCCCATTGAAGGAAAATATTTTTCCTGGAAAATACTTCCTTCCATTAATGTCACCAAACACAGGAACATGAAATCAAAATTTTTCCGAAAAATATTTTGCTCCCAACCAAACACACCATAAGTGTTTTTTTCTTTAAGTTTTGTCGGGAGGAGAATCAGTCCACTCACTTTGAGCTCTGTGGTAGATAAAAAAACTCGCAGTAACATATGCATAGTTTCATTAATAGAGCAAAAAAACAAAATTAAAAACTACCCATCCCTACCATAATTGGCCAAAATGAATTTGCAATCAAGAATAATATACTGATAGAGAAGAAATATGGCGAAAAATTCCACACCTTTCATTTCCTTTCTTTATCTTTTTATTTACCCTTGCACTTTTTTTCTTAATTCGCGGTGACTGCGGCCACTTTTAATCTTTTTATTCTTTAAAGTCGTATAAAATGATACGGAATTCAACAGCAATTACTCTCTCTAAAACCGTGTTATTAAACCAAAATGTATCTCTAACAATGGGAAAAGATTCTACATTAGACAATTAACAAGTCAATTATTTATCCGACTGTAAAAAAAAAAAAAGTCACTTATTAATCCAGCTAACCTACAAGTGGCCTACACTAGCTTATCGTAGGAAACGACTGACTTATCAGCACTAAGCATTTCCCCCAGGTAAGCCCGCTCTGTTTGTGTTGCAATCTTTTCAACAGTCGTCCACCACTCTTCATCATCATCATCATCTTCTTCTTCTTCTTTTCCTGACGTTCCGTCCGGGTTGTCCTACGCAGGATATATAATTACAAACCACATCAGTTTTACCCACCTTGAAGTCAACTTTATCTTATTAACACACAAAAAAAAGCTATGTGAATGTTGGAAAAGTTAATTATTGCCTCTATTAGATGAAAGCGAAAAACTACTCCGTAATAGTTTAATGCATGTGAACTGTGATCAAATTGGTTGTTGAAAAGAAATTATTACGAACACATCCAGTAAATTCTTACAGAGAGGGATCGGGTCTGGAGACTTAACCACTACTCAGAAAGCAGAAAGAGTATTCTTAGGAGACCCCAAGCTCGAAAACAATTGAATAAACTACAAATTTTAAAATTCTGATGCAAAATTTATTGCAACAATAAATAACTCAGATGAATCTCACTAGCGCAGGTCTGGGAATCGTGTGTGGACGCAGACCTTACCCCTATCCAAAAGTAAAGAAACTGCTTCCTAAAGACCCCCGGCTCAAATAACACAATTAATACAAACTCACTGAAAACACATAAAGATGCCTACACCAGAGGAAACCACAAAGCACAAAAATCCAAGACAACTAATATTAATGAGAGAAAGGCATGGCAAGTAGAAAGCACAAAACATAATGTGAGAAAACTACCACTGCACCTAATCCAAGCTAGCAAGTAGCAGAAAGCTACTTTATTGAAAACAACAAAATTCTTAGTGAAAACAAATACGTAGTATAAAAAAAGTTAGAAGTTTTTTTTATGCAACACTATAAGACGTAAAGTTCCTAAAAATAAACAATTACTTTTCAAACTCATATCTAGTTTCCAAACCAAACTAAATTGTACTCTGGGTATCTTAAGATAGCCCCGGATTCAGCCATAAAGGAGGTCACACACACACACACGCCCACATGCGTGCACACATCCACACGATATGTAGCAGAATGCATAAACCTTAACCAGAAAGAAACAAGGGAAATTAGATGGAAACAACAATACAACACAAAATATGGATGATTTAATCATGATAGGACAAAAACACTACCAACAATGGAATTGGTCAAAACATTACTAACTATCAACCGTGTTGGCCAATAACAATATAAATTATGAAAATCCGTACAAATACCTATCACATAAACTTTACTATTACAAAACATATTCACATATTCAATTTTTTTTTTGGAATTTCAACATAATCGATCTGTGTTAGATATTTAAAATATTTTTCACATATAGCTATGATAAATTAATATTTCATGGATCCATGAAAATATTTTTTATACTGAATCTGGATTTGGTGAGTTTTATATTACAAGAACCAATTTTAGGTGTAAAAAATATTTCCATGATGATATGTCACAAATTAATGTTTTATCATTGGAGAAATTTTTCTAGTAAAGAAAATGAATATAAGTGTATACTAGTGGGGCATATATATATTTTTTGGAAGAGGGGTGGGTTAAATTGGGCATATACTACGAATATTGAAAGACAAAAATACTCTAGAATATTTATATGAAGGGTATTTATATATAGTTTTGCATTACAGCGATATATATATATATATATATATATATAGTTTTGGACTAACAAGGTGATGGTTGCCTGGCCGGTAATGTTTTGTTCAATTTTATACTCTACCCATTCTTTATTAATGTTCTATTATAACTTTCTTGATAAATTAAAAAAATGAATCAATGTGGACATAAAGTATGTCCACATTTATTTATTTTTCAATTATGATGAAAGTCATAATAGATAGTTAATAAAGATTGGAAGGAATACTTCGTAGTGTTTTTGTCCAATACTCCAATCATCAATACTTGGTCGTATTTCGGTCCAATTTCCAAAGAAAAAGGTTGAATAACTGACAAACACTTATGGAAGTTAATACTTAATACAAGAATGCATCCACTTACACCAGCTACATTCAAGGCTTTTGGTATGCCCTCTACCTGATCAGCAAATGTGATGGTTTCAAGCCACCAATCTTTCTGGCAGTTGTCTATAATACTCCCATCGCTATTACAACTGTGTGTCCCAAACCTTCAGTATTACCTTCTACATTAAAAGATACTGAACGAGCTATGACATTGTCAGGGATGGGGCATAAAGGGGATCGATAGCCTGTAAGAACCAAAGTTGCAGCAATTTAAATTTTTGTTAGACGGAGTTAATTCTGGCATGTGGAATTATGACGAGACCCTTTACCTCTGCAATCAGGATCATGGCACTTCTGGTAATAAACACCCCTTTTAAGATCAACAACATACATCACTAGCACATCCAACATAAACAGAAAAACGTTAGAGTATTGCCAAATAAGCTATCTCTAGCTACATCGTTAGAGTGCCTACAATTTTCATTTATTTACCATGTGAGCAAAGTACCCTAGCAAAAACTCCCTAAAATATGTGAGTATGCCACATACAAATGCACGGTGTTCTATTTTTATTATATTTCAAAATTTAATTGTTGGTTGATGAAACACGAGATGCATTGAGATCACTTATCTTTTGAAATAATGTGCCTTTCAACGTGGAAACTAGGACGAAAATATAACTTTAAACACACTAAATTTTCTACTCCAGTTACCATTTTTTCAAAAAGAAAGAACTTATATTCACTGCATATTTAACAGTGAACATAGCCATATGCATCTTAATATAGCATAGTTCAGCTAATCTACGACCTCTAGGGATCATTTGCTACGAAATTTTGGATAATATTAGTTTAATTGAACTCGACTATTTATTACCTTGTGTTTCCCTGTGTAGCAGCACAAGTTTGCAAGGATGAAAAAAACAGGTGATAAATGTAACATACTTAATAATACTCCGTAACATGGTATTTTATCGTTTAAGTTTCAGCTGTAAAATTACAAAATGCAAAGCCTATGAAATTGATATTACAGTATTCATTCAATAACATGCAGTCTTACACACTAAAACTTTCTACGGTTGCACTTCATAGATGTTGAGAGGTAGAACTCTCTTTCTTGTAGGAATAACAGTTGTACAATTGACATAACTTTGTTTGTTTTGCGTAAGACGTGCAATAATTCAAATACATGTGTTTCCTCTTATTCCATGTGGGTCATTGACACTGGCACAACCAATCATATGACAAGTAATCCCGACCAATTTTCCGTCTGTAACACAACTACTCCAGTAGTCCAGTACCCATGTTACTCTTGCTAATGGGTCTATCTCATAAGTACTCAGGTGCATCAATGTTATCATCATCTATTCTAACTTCTAAGTGTAACAAAATTCTCATTCAATTTAGTCTATGTGAGCGAACTTGTGCCCATTGTGTGACATTTTTTGAAGTACACAAGTCTGGTGGAGTCTACACCCTTGACACTTCTATCCTGAAGAATGCTACTTTTCTTTGGATTTGAATCACCATTTGAAGTCCATTGCCCTTTGGGCCATGCCGGGCGGGCCATTATTGCCGGCAATCCACTTCTCTCTGGGTTAAAGAAAATTCCAATATCAACATCAATTAGTGTGCTGGGAGGTTACTAATTTTTCCCAACATCATGTTTTTTATTTTCATTAGCTCCCATTACCTTTGGCTATGAATACACATCCAAAACATCATTTTAATTAAAAAGCTGCGCCACATTTCCTTATGCCTGAGAAGAACTTTAAAATGAATCGGAAGGAAGATTAATCCAATCAGAACAAATAAAAAAATTATTTCATGATCGATCGATATAAACATCAACTACAAATAGGATTTGTTTCTCCCAAACTAAAAAGTGATTTAGCTCCTAAAATGTGTTGATCTTGATGTTAACACAGTATTAAACTAGTGACATGTTTAAGTGTTGCCGGTACATCCAAACCCACTCAATAGATAGCACTAGCAAAACAATTGGAATACCCAAACTAGTCGTAGTTTAGTTTTCATTGTTAAAGAATTACGTAGTAATTATTCGTACACCCTTCCCCAGCTCCATGGGAGGGGGACATGTTGATTTTTCCCTGAAATCAATCTACAAGTTTTCTCTCTCAGTTTCACACACACACACACACTCTCTCTCTCTCTCTCTAACCTCGGATTGCTAAATCAATCACATAGGTTCAAATTTCCGTTACAATTGATAAATGAATTGGAGATGAAAGATGAAAATTAACATTAATCGTCTCAGTATAAAAAGGAGGGAATCCTAATGCAACTCGACTTCGTAAAAGCAATAACCAAAATATAAAGAATACTAAAACATAACTAAGGCGAGTGGAATTAAAGTAGGACTTATTTTAAAGAAGGAAAGACACCCGACCCAAGGCACCAAGCTGGCCTGTTCGGCTTCCAATGCCTTTGATATTGTATTCCCTAGAATGGGTCCATAATAAAAAGCTATCAATTTTATGGAATACACAAATAATTTTTAATCACATATTCACATTGCTCACTTGAAATCAAGGGAAAATTATGTCATGGCAAGCACAATGTGTGTAGTGTGTATACTAAAAAGAAACCAAACAAAATATTACCATGATTGCTTTTGTGTTCTCTCTGGATCCTTTCACAATATCTGTTTTTTGACATGTTGTACACCATCAGCCCATACTCTGAGAACCAATACCAACTCCTAACTTTTCCTAACAAGACAATGTAAAGAACAGTTGTATGTAAGGATTCAATAAATATATTAGACTCAGCACCAAAGATATAAGAACTAGGCACAGCCATCGACACTTTTTAGAAAATTAACTCTGTACAAAAATATAAGGGACCTTTTATTTTGCTACACGTTGTATTGAAAAAAACAGATGCAGTTCTAATTTTCCCTCATATATCTGTTCTAACATGAAAGTTAGGTGTTAATCTTTTTACCTGGTACACTTCCTATGGAGGCAATATACACAATGAATGCATCTAAAGCTGTGAATGGCGACTTTCCCATCAAGTATGCTCTTGAGGGATCACCTTCAAAACTATTCAACACAGATGCATGGGGAATGAAGTTTTGTTGGAAATTTTCTGTAGTCTGTGAAAGAAAACATAAGTTAAGTATAACTTTCAATGCATAACAACTTGTAAGCAAATTGTTTTCACAAAATAGGAGAATGGGGCTAACAGGACCAACACACCAAATATATCATAATGAATATGAAAAATCTAATTTTACAAGATTGCTACAAGAGAGAAGTCAATAAGTACCTCTGTATCAAAATGCAGGGTCTTGACAAAATCTGAATCCATTTTACAAACCAAAAGTTTCTCACAGTCAGCATCCATATTGCAAATCAGTGATGCCATAAACATTTCTTCTTCACTCTGCCATGTAGTGAAAACGACTTACATTTAAATAAACATTTACATGTGAAATGCAGGGCTCAGCTAACATTGAGTATCACGAAAAAGGAGAAGACACCCCATGCAGCAAGTATAACCCAAAAAACAAAATTTAAATCATATGGAATGCAATTGGGATAAGGTCGGCATTAGAGCTGGAATTTTGGTAAATAAAAATTGGTTGCATACCATGTCCTCACATTTAAAGCGCCCACTTGGTAGAAGGACAGAAGTCTTCCCGGCTTTAGATGAGAGAGCTAGGCGAAAGCAGCGGTTTCTAGAGTAGACAGCAGTATCCACAAAGATCTGACTTGGAATTCCAACTGATTTTGAATCTTTAAAGACAAAGAGCTTTTTGAATCTCTCATCCATTTCATTTGAAGTATATATACGTGAACATATCTGACAACGTCTCATAGAAAATGATTGTCACTCCAGTTGCTCAAATCGGAAAACCAAAAGCCTCAGTTCTTTAGTAGATATTTTTGGAATGTAAAAATGATTTTAAAAATCATTTGCTAACAATTAGAGACCAAGAAGATGTATGGCACTATCCAACTTCAAAGTATTACAAAATACAAACCCATGCTTAACAAGAACTTAATAAGAAGGAAACAAAACACCGGTGTCATGCCAGAGAGATTAGCATACCTCAGTAACAAATGCCCCAACATGGGAGTTGTCCTTAAATGCAGCCTTTGGTATTCTAATGATTAAATGTCGGGAGAACTTATCTGCTACAAGTGTTTATAATATCAAAATAATATAAAGAATTTGATATTATAAGAGGAATACAGTGGCATGATTTATGTAAATCTCTGGCTCAGTCCTTAGCAACTCTCTCCATACCTTCAGTAGAAGAATCAAGCTCAACAATCCAGTCATGACTTCCTTCAAGAGAATACTTTTCCAGCAGGGTATCAAATACAGCCATGACCAAGAGATCAACCATTTCATCTCCATTCTTATCTTCATTTGCTCTCTTATTGAACTCCAAATCAAAATAAAGGTGGCATGGCAAGCCCTGGGAATGTGAAATTGTCATCCATCCAATGCCTTCAAAATGGACTAAATTGACTTCAAGTACTTATAAGTATTAATGTAATATAAATAGTAGACCAATCATATTAGCACGGAATACAATTGTTCTACCATTAAGGGAAAACAGAAAAAGTCCTTACCTCCTGAATGACTTCATAATGGTGCCTCTTAGAATTCATATTTTTATACCTAAATCGGAGTATAAGATTAAAAGGATAATCAACCTAGGAGGGGATGGACATATAGTACATACTGACTGGATTTTGAGATGGATTAATATCTGAGAATGCACCTTCTCCAAAAGTCCTCATATGTGGAAACAAGAAACCTTCTTTGGCCATTTAAATGATCCTGATAACTAAAAACACGAGCATTCATGAACTGTTTTGCATGCTTGACTGCTTCATCCTGCTTAGGGAAAGTGGCCCATACTTCTTGTCTGCATAAACATCAAACAGTAAGTGAGAAATAATGTGAGTTGCAGCATTGATGAAAGAAGTCCAAAATGCAACATCCTTAAACTCGCCACTAAAAGATAATGATATGTGTCAAGTGACACTCTAATAAGTGTACATCTACCTATGCTTGTTTTGTTCTCTGAGATCTACATGTATTTCTTGCAACAAGCGCAACAAACTAGCTGGTCTCTTTGGAGGAACCCCATGTGGAGACCTATAAAACACAAGGGGAGAGAACTGCTTCCGATTGCTATTTCTTTTTGCTTTTGATGAACTGGACTGAGAATAATCACGCACTAATTACTAGTACCATCAACTGCATTATAGCAAATTAGAGACAACAATATCGTATATAAAATGAAGTATGGGAGGTCAAATTGCAGCTTAACTGCTTACGTCCATAATATAAGCAAAGATCGAAAGCAGTACATACATCTTCAAGAGAGTGATCCGCATCTGCTGTGCTCATGGAAATTTTTTCAGCTGATTGGGCGTATGTTGAACCTACCCGTTTCAATGTTCTATTTCCCCTTTTTCTTTCTCTGATCGCAGATTCTAAGAAATAAATCAAAGATCAGAGTTTTCAATCTGTGTTAAGAATAAGACAACATAGCGCTTTCTTAAACATCAACTTTGGCATATATTTTCCAATTTTGTGGACATTGTTATCTGTATGAACCCAAAATAGCACACCTGATTGGATATCAGGCATAAAGAAATGCTACTATCTTCAATTTCTAGCAAAAATGTCAGAACACACTGAATTATCACTCCTACGTTTTAATCTATGATGGTTTTAGCAAGACATTACGCGGAGAAGAAACAGAGAGTGAAAATGACAAAATCTACGAAAAACAAATATCAGAAAAGAGATTACGCGGAGGAGACACGCCGCATTTGAAGCATTCATACAATCGATCGACATCGTCCATGGGATTGTCTTTCACTTTCCGAGAGTTCTAACCTTGATGAGAAAGTGGCCTGGCATCATTTTGTAAACGGAACATGTTTGATGGCCACTCTAACTCTATTTTAGTGGTGAGAGAAGTCACACTGCTCTTCTGTTTGACATTAAAATTTTGAAAAATGCTAGGGGTACACCAAAGGTGTATCTATTTGTACACACCCCTGCATTATCACAAAAATGGGCAAGAGATTTAAAAAAAATTAAATAAATAAAAATGGGATAAAATGAGTGGTGGAGAAAGGGATAGGGGACAAATGGGGTACACATTTGGTGTACCCCTAGCATTGCTCTAAAATTTTTTACTTCAAAACCAAATGAACTTGCACAGTACAATTAATGGGAGTAGAAGTAGTAGATTGGAATCGGGACTTGGTCGGGCCGTGGAGGTTTAAGAATAAAACAACATGGAGAGACAATGGCTTCTATAACCACTCAAATAGAGTGGTCATGGAACTCGCCCGTTTGTAAACACCTTTCAAAAAACTTTGTTCTTTTGAATTATTTGGATTTTACCACTATGTGGATAATTTTTTCATGAAGAAAAAGAAAATAAGAGTAGAAAATTTGAGAAAAGAAAATAAAATTATTTTCCTTCTTGTTTAGATATTTTAGGATTAAAGAAAAGGGTAATTTACCTAAATAGGACTAAAACATAATAACTTTCCCAATATAGGACCATATATTTTTATTTCCCAATGTAGGACCTTTGGTCATTATCAAGTAGTCATTATTCAACTAAATGTCCATCATTACTCGACATTATTCCTTCCACTAGGTCATTATTAAGTCCTATTTAGAGAATAAAAAAGTTTAAGTCCTATATTTGGAAAGTCATTATGTTTTCGTCCTATTTAGTGCAAATTTCACTAGAGAAAAATAAATTCATTTTATTTCCTTACTAATAAAGTGAATCTAAAATTACTTACCATTTAAACTTTCGTCTCGGGGGAAATGTAGTAAAGGAAAATAAATAGATATAGTATTTCCATCCATCCTTATTTTCTTTCACCTTTCCAACACATTATATCCACTCACTCCTTTATTAATATTTTTTCATCCTTTATTTTCTTTCCATTCTTATATTTCCTCTTCCAAAATCCAAAGAAAATGGTTAGTTTGTTTGAAAACAACATTTTTTATTAGCGGATAAAATTATAATCGTGTAGATTATTTTTTAGAACGATAACAGTGGCTACCACGCTATTGCCAAACAGAATTTCTAAAAACAAATTTGAATGTTGAAAAAAAACAAAAGAGAACAAACTTGAATAGGTTTGAAAAAAATTAAATTAGAAAGAGTTAGACACTAGAAAGAGTTACAAGAAAATAAAAGAATTTGGAAAATAATTTGAGTTGAAAAAACTAAACAATGTTGAAAAAAATGTTAAAAAAATATCATTGTATATTTTTAAAATTTTATATTTTTATTAACATAAGTTATGCTTCATCTATCTCATTTTTTCTCTTTCTTTTTCTCTTTTTTTATGTTTCTCCATCACACTATTTGTGTTTCAAGTTGTATTTAGTGATTTTTTTACTCACACTCATTATTTCTTTTTCTTACACTTTTCAGATCAATATCAATAATATACGTACGTAATTTTTTTCTGTAATTTGAATTTTGTTAACCCATATAATAAAAATAATAGGACTTACGAAGCAATAACTTTAATCAATCTTAATTTAAAGGCAAAATTTACATAAATAATCTATTCTTTTTTTTCCTTTTCGATTTTGTTTTTTTATCGGTCGTTCCAAAAAATAACAGTTCCCTTATAACACTTTAATACTTTTCTTAAACTTTCTAAAAGTAAGTCATAATAGATTTTTGGGATGTAGGTAATATTTAATTCTTAATTCTACATCCAACACACACACACGCAGATATATATATATATATATATATATATATATATATATATATATATATATATATATATATACATATATATATATATACATATATATATATACTCCCTCTGTCCACCATAGATCTTCCCAGACAGGGTCAAACTTAATTCACTTTGTTTGCTTATTTTAACCATTCATTTCATAAAATAAAATAGTATTGTCACCTCTAGTTTTGTAGAACTTTTCATGTACTTTTTTACTATATAAATTTTATTTTTAAATTTTATCTTTACAATTAAATAAATTGAATTAAAAATAAAGTCGATCAAACCTCGTAACGCGCAATGAGAAGATCATTGGTGGACAGAGGGAGTATGTGTGTGTGTGTGTGTGTGTGTGTATATATATATATATATATATATATATGTATATATATATATATGTATATATATATATGTATATATAATATGTATATATATATACCAGATAAAAAATATAATAAGCTTAATTATTTGGAGGAAAACACAAACGAACAATTATTTATCGAAATTCATAAATATCGGAAAAATTAACTAATTTAGATATGAATGGGAGTTAGAAAATTTAGATTTAGGTACAATATTCTCATACATACATGATGAGTGCTCATTTACAAGTAACGAAATGCTCATTTCCGAGTAACTGAATACTCATTTTTCTACAATTTAATTAGTTATGCTCGAAAATGAGCATTTGGTAACTCGAAAATGAGTATTCCTGTTATTCAAAAATGAGTACTTAGTTATTTGACAATGAGCATTCGTGCGGATGTACAGGCTATACCGTACATCCAGATGTATGATATATCTTAGATACTCCAATATCCCATTGTGGTCCAATCTTTTTCTTAAGCGTAACATAATTTTAAAAGTTCAATGTAGTATACCTCCTTCATCATACTATTTTTGTCTCATTCACTATATATATGGTCAAACTAGACATACTTTCATTACATATTTTCACTATCCTTTGCTAGCTAGTTACCTCTTATTTTGTAAAAAAATTGATGTAATTTAAATATGAAATTTTTAATATTTAATCCAACACCAATATAATGTACTATTGAGTCGAATTCCATTAAAAAACATTAGTCAAATAGTGTAAATAAAAAATAGACCAAATTCGCAGGAGGGAGGGAGTATAGTTTAACACAATCTCGCTCCATGAAAATATATTGTACTTCTAATTAATTCTTTAAATTATACTTATAAATAGATTAATTTTTAAATTAAATTAACTAAATTTATTTGTAAATATTTAATACCATTTTCAAGAAACATTGTTATAAAATATTGTAACTAGAATTTATTGTTTTTATATAAATTGTGACACTAATTCATTTTTTATTTAATCTAATTTGATGATGATGATGATGATGATGATGATGATGATGATGATGATAATAATAATAATAAATAATAATAATAATAATAATAATAATAATAATAATAATAATAACAACAACAACTACTGCTACTACTACTACTACTACTACTATTATAGTAATAGTTGGGCCTAATTGTTTTAAAGGAAACAATTCCCAATTATGATTTCATATACAATTACGATTAATAAGAGTCAAGGTCAATCTTTGTCGCATGTTGGACTTTTATAAGGGTAATTTCACGTGTCATAAATCGTAAATGATTAAAGATTTTGATTTGCAATGAATGTTAGAACACACTTTATATCGCATTGAACTAAAGTCGTGTTCATTTCTGATAGGTTTTGATAATTGCCAAACCGCCGTGGATATGAAGAGTTCCTTTGAATAACTCAAGGCGTGAAGAAAAGGCATGAAACAAGACCAAGAGACTCAAGGACAAGATCAAGAATTGAAGACTTAGTCGAGTCGGTCTTTTTGTGATCAAAATCCACAATCTATTCAAGTCTCGGTTCTCAAGAGTTAAAATAATTTTACAAAATCATAAAACGTTTTTATGCATCAAATAAACGTTTTTAATAAGGTTTTTAATGTTCTTAAAATCCCTGGTCCTTGCCCAAACTAAAACCACACTTTTGGCGTTCGGCGTTCGGCGTTCGGCATTCGGGGTTCGGTGTTTGGTTTTTGGCGTCCGAACCAACTCAGTGGTTTTTAATATTTTAAACTTTTTTTTTACCTCAAGGCATATTTAAAAGGTTCCCAAACAATTATTTTGTAAAAACCACTTTTGTATTTTGGTCAATCGGTCTAACACGTGAAAATCGGTCAAAACCGTCAACACGTGACAAACGACCTCGAAGACTTGGTTTTTAATAAACAAGTCTTGGTTCCCATTTCACGGTCTGAACAATATCCATAATGTTCGCTTTGAGAACTAGTAACTCTCGAGGAACTTGACATTCCACAATTGGAGGTCCACGCGTACTAAATCCTGTACGGAGCAAAAGATTTTGACGTTGAGCACATCATAATTAATTTGATCTTCAAAATGACAAATCGACCTAAGCTTCGTAATAATTGCATACACGTGATCAAAAATCATACACACTCCTTTGTCATACTCAATTTCTCCATAAAGAACCTCTCTAGCAAACCAAGAAGTTTGTCCAACGTAGAGTCCATTTTCAAAATAAATATTTCCACACAAAAATTACCAAAAAACCTGAAGTCTCGCGGCAATGAATTTGAATAAACTTTTTTTTGGATGGTGCGTAGCAATGCTCCACTCAAAAAATACGCTGTAATGATTAGCCCAAGCAGAGAATTGGCAATGAAACAATCTACTACCAACTCAAATTTAATCTGCACACTTTTTTTACCCCAACTATTGTCCACAAAGTTATATGAACTGCTGTAGAAAAATTCTGAGCAGACCGGTATTGAGAGCTCCAAGCAAATCCCCTCCATTTGATAATTAGGCACTATCAAACCCCTTTAAGAGTAGGAGTGTAAACGGATATTAATCAGATCGGATGTGCCATTACCAAATCCGTATCCGTTTATTTTAGTCGGATATCGAATTCGGATACGGATCTTGACGGATACTGAAAATCAAAACCGTATCCGCATCCGTCGGATATCGGATATATCCGTATCCGTTTCCAATTTTTATAATCAAATTAAACAATATTTTAATTTTAAATTATATTAAAGTCAAACTTTATTAAATCAACTATAATTTGATATGGGATAATTTTTTTCTTTGTTCTCATTATTTATGATATTCTACGATAACTTCATATGATAAAAAGATATACACAACACACATATACACATACTTTTATATGTCTGTATATATTTTTATGTGTCTACACATTTATTTTGTATATAAAAATGTCTTATATTTTGAAATATCAATAGAGAAACAAATTATAAACATAAAAAATTAGGAAAAACTATATATAACGGATCAGATATTCAGATAAACGGTTATTTAAACGGATGCATATTCGGATCGGATTTTAAACGGATCGGATATACAATTACCAAATCCGTATCCGTTTAGTAATCGGATACGGATAATATCCGTTTAAAACGGATGCGGATATTTCCTCTTTAAACGAATACGGATGCGGACGGTAATCGGATTTTTGGCTATCCATTTACAGCCCTATTTAAGAGCATTTCTAACCATAGCAAAATGACTTGCTATATGTTATAATTTGACAAGCATATACAAATTTTCATGCTCCGATCCAAAGGGTTATTCAAAATTTGACTAGCTTGCTAAAAAATGAAAACACCTTGCTATTTATAACAAGCATTCTAGAATATAGCTAAACAAAAATTAATGTAAATTTCTTTTACAATGATATATATTGCACAAATACTCCGTATAACATTTTTTGTTTTTTCGATGTGAATGTGATTTTTACCGAAGGAAGAGTTCTTTGATTTATTTTATTTTAAATAGAAATATTTTATTTTATATTTTTTAATTACATACTGTTAGAATATAAATAACTTTTTCTGGGACATAACCACAAGTCTGAGCTTTTGGTTGAATCGGTTCTTTGACACATACTCCATATTTATTACTTTTGTTTTACGTTTAGAGGAATAAATACAATTCAAGAATTATTGTATTTGATGTATTATAATGGTTATTGGAACAAAATATATTTGTTAGTTACTCCCTCCATCCCAAAGAGAATTACCCATGCCATTTACTATTATGGCCTCTCGATAACTCTTATTTGTTTGCGTATTTTCATTGATCATTTGATAAAATAAAAATATTTTTGTCAGCTCTTGTTTTGTAGAGTTTTTGATGTAGTTTTTTAATATAACTTTTTATTTTGTATTTCTTTAATAATTTATAAATAAAATCATTTTAAAAGTCATGGAGTTTTGCACGTTGATCAAAATGAGTAAAACATTACGGGAAGGAGGGAGCATAATATAACAAGTCATGGTTGGAGAAGGGAGCAAAAAGTGACTTGTTATACCACTATTCATAAGCGATCAGTTTTTCTGCAAGCAATTTGTTGGAGCGATTCTTTAGCCGGCGGCAAATCTGTCAAATTTTTTTCTGGTTTTTTTTGGTTTTTTGTGGTGTTCAAATCAACGAGAGCACCAATTGATATGATTGAATAATAATGAGATAGGAGTACAATATTTAGAGATATGAAAACCCTAATTAACCCAATAGGCTTAGGCCCATACTAGTACAACCTAAATATGATTACCTATATAATACTCCCTCCGTTCCTTTAAACTCTTCCACTTTTGACTTTTGGCAAAAATAAGGAAAGTGTAATTTTAGTTGACTTTCCAATTTTGCCTCTGATGTGATGAGTAAAAGTAAGATGTGATAGTTTGGTTATTAGTGAAAAAGTATGATGTGATAAGTAGGGTATGAAAAAGTAAGGATAAAAATGGTTTTTTTAGTAGAAAGTGGAAGTGTTTTAAGGAATTCAAAAAAAACGAAAGGGGAAGGGTTTTGTGGAACAGAGGGAGTACTACTAATTAATAAATAACTAATTAAATAATATGATTCATCTTCTGTATCAATGGCCAACGCACCTATCGTGGTCATGGGTGAGGGGGGCGGTCTTCCCTCATCCTTGTGTCCTACGTGGCTATCACGGTAGCCATCACAGACTCCCACCTGGGGAATAAAAGTATAACTTATGATACAGAAGGATTAATTAATAATTTATATTATTTAGTTAATTAGATATTTTAATAGTTTAGCTAGATAGTTTAATTATTTTTATAACTTTTTATTGTTGAGTGGAATTATAACACTCCTTCGAGGGTTTTTTTTTCGGTTCTTTACCTCGACGCTTTTATTGAACCGACAGGATTAGAATTCTATTATAATTAGGGTTTTATCATTATTAGGGTTAGTTAAATAATTTAGCTATAAATACCCATGTATCTTGTTATTGAGATATCAATCAAGAATTAAGAAATTACTCTTCTCAAACCCTAGTTCTCTCCCCCTCAAATCTCGTCTTCTTCCGCCCCTCCTTGACTTTCTTACTTCTTTTCCCAAATTCTTCATCTTCTTCCCCTAATTTCTCAATTTCTCTTCCCTGTTTCGATACGATATCGTATCAACTTACATATAATGTAACTTGAACCAATTTTTCAAAATAAATTTATTATTTTTATACCTACTCTGTCAATGTTTATTAATTTTGAGTGTTAAGAGAGAAGTATTACGTACAATATCGGTTCAAGAAAATCAACAAGGGAAAGAACCGAAAAGAAAACCCTTGAAGGATCGGAGACTAATACTCAGTTCAAAACAGTAAAATAAAAAATAGAGTAAAATAAAAAATAAAAAAAATAGAGTAATATTACAATAACTTATAATCATTGTAGTGGCTGGACGTTCCTTGGTTGATGGAGGTATTGACAAGGTATAAATAATCCGAGAGGGTAGGAATTGATCGAATATTCCGTGAGGAGATAGAGATGGATTATAAGAAAAGGTGGAAATATTAAGGTACTAATAACCACATCAGTTCATCATTATGCAGCATGCATAACAAACGACAAATTAACGAACATTATTATTATCAGGGCCGCAATAGAAATACGGAGTAGTGGTCTTTATGGCCATATATAGTGGTGGAGATGACATGGTCTGTCGTCGGTCAATAACTTGTACGTACAACATGTATGTGTAAAGGAAATGATATGCTCGATCAAGAAATACGGCACCCGTTATTATCCTCATAAGTAGTAGTGGGATCGTAGCCATTAGTATATGCTTGGTAATGCGGCTGGGGAGGGTAGTAGTAGCCACTATTAGTATATGTTGGGTAACCATACGGCTGCTGATAACCGTATGGTTGAGGGACTTGAGGGCAGTAGTGCATGCCAGGAGCATGAGTAGCCGCCTGATGAACAGGAGCCGGATTATTAGCTGCTGGTTTCTTTTCTCCTCCTCCTTCCTTTTTCTTAGCCTCTTCCTTTTTATTTGGACCCACCGACACAATTGTTGTGCAGTCTCTTAAGCGTTTCACCTTAAACAACGCTCCCAAAACATCCACTACATTTGCACTACCTGTAACGGTTAGCAGTTTCTTTTCTGCTGGCTCTATCAAGATGGAATCCAATCCCTCAACCTCTCCCAGGTTTCGCATCACTCTTCCGCGTACATCTTCCATGCCCATATTCTCCGATTTCACAATTATCTGTGCTTCCAATCCCCCACCCATGCAAAAACAAGTTTGTTATTCCCATCAACTTTTTTTTTTTAAAAAATAAAAATAAAAAGTTCAAAATGATTATTAGAAAATAATAAAATTTTTATCGTGTTTAACTTTCTCTTAGTCGATTGTTTTAAAATTTAACCTCTGAAAAAACACATTGTGTCATTATAAACCAAGATAATGAAAAACACATTGTGTCATGCAAATACATATTAATACACTGAAATTAAATGTTGAAAGTTTTCAACAAGATAAACCAAATTAAATCTTTTTTTTACAAATATACATTACAATTTTTTTTAATTGAGTTCCAAAGTTTGCCTAATTTGACTCAAAAGATCAACCTCGACGCACTAGGATGGAGGTAGTATATATTTATTTTGAAAAATGTAATTTTAAAATAACATAATTTTATGATATACCCTATATATTTATAAATAAATAAATAAAGTTATTAATGATCAAAATACTATCCAAAATAACAAGAAAATTATAGGATAGATGGAGTAAACAATATGACTAATAGTGAAACAAAAAAATCATCACCCGAAATTGGAGCAAAACATAGAACAAATCTCCAAAACAAGATCGACATTTTTCGGGAGAGTGTATCTGATAGTTCAATTTCTAAGTTTACCCTTGGTGGTGATGCATAAAAAAAGATGTGATGGATAATATACATAGATAGATTATTAATGAATAGACATGATGTAATATGTAAATTATTAAAAGTAATTTACCTAAATAGGACTAAAAATAATGACTTTCCCAATATAGGACCATATGTTTTTATTTCTCAATGTAGGACTTTTGGCCATTATCAAGTAGTCATTATTCAAGTAAATGTCCATCATTACTGGACATTATTCCTCCCACAAGATCATTATTAAGTCCTATTTAGGGAATAAAAAAATTTAAATCCTACATTAGGAAAGTCATTATGTTTTAGTCTTATTTAGTGCAAATTTCACAATTATTAATTCATAGGGGTAAAATAGTGTAGTCATGCTATTTCTTGTTTCGTATGTTTCTTTTGTATACTTTATTAAATACTACCTCCGTTCCTTTAAACCCTTCCACTTTTGACTTTGGGCAAAAATAAAGAAATTGTAATTTTGGTTGAATTTCCAATTTTGCCCCTGATGCAATGGGTAAAAGTAAGATGTGATAGTTTAGTTATTAGTGAAAAGTATGATGTGATTGGTAGGGTATGAAAAAGAAAGGGTAAAAGTGGTTTTTTAATAGAAAGTGGAAGTGTTTTAGGGAATTCAAAAAAAACGAAAGGGGAGGATTTTATGGAACGGAGGGAGTATGTAATTTTATTTTTTAATTCCATACTAATTATCAAATGAACTAAATTGAAAAATATAATGTCAATCATATCTCTTAACGCGCACGAGAAAGATTATCTGTGGCTAGACCGCTAGAGAGAGCAATATAATTATATTTTAATTCAAAACATAATTTAATCATAATTTTAGAAATAAATTGTACTACCTCCGTCCCAAAAAGATTTACGCGTTTTGACTAAAGTTGAAATTAAGGGAGGGATAATTTTGTGTTGACTTTCCAAAAATACCCTTGATGTGATGGGTAAAAGTAGGATGTGATGTGTAGATTATTAGGAAAAAAGTATGATGTGATAGGTAAGGTTTGAAAAAGTAAGGGGTAAAAGTGGTTTTTTTAATAGAAATGGGTAGGAGATTGTGGGACACAATTTTTTTGAAAGGTGTAAATCTTTTTGGGACGGAGGGAGTATAATTGATCCTATATAACATGGAACCCCTAATAGCATACTCTCTCCGTCATGGAAAACATGAGAGTTTTGATTTTGAAGAGGAATTTAAGGAGAGTGTATTTTGGTATTGAATTTCCAAAAATGTCCTTTGATGTGATGGGTAAAAGTATGATTTGATGGATAGATTATTAGTAAAAAGGTATGATGTGATAGGTAGGGTATGAAAAAGTAATGGGTAAAAATGACTTTTTAATAGAAATGAGAAATGTTTTTTGAAACAGATGAAAAAAGAAAGGAGAAAGGTTTTCAGGGACGGAGGGAGTAATATTTTTCTTATGGGAGAAAGACTAAACTAGGACTAAAACATTGAAAATATACCAAAATAGGACTTCCATGTTTTTATTCCCGAAATAGGACTTACATTACCAAACATGGTCATATACATTACCAAAAAAGTATAGTAATTTGCACATGTACACTTCCACATTACCACAATGCAAAGTCACATTACCACAGTGCAAAGTCATATTCCTGAAAAAAACCTGAAAGTCCTATTTTGGTACTTTTCTCTATGTTTTAGTCCTATTTAGGATGATTTCTATTTCCTTATTTAGTGTTTTAATAACAAAATACTATCCGGGGAGTGGGAGGTACTAGTAGTTTATGGAGGTAGAGAGTACGTACCTTTTTCTTATCATCGTTTCCTTGGTCCTTCTTCTCCACAGGTTTATTATTCATGGGTTTGGAAGTCTTAAAATCGAAATTATCACGTAACCCCTTTTTTCTGCTCATCGTTGCTCTAATATTACTCGTCTCCTGTGCTTCCGTGATTAAAAGCAGCTTCGCCTCGTCTTCCATAGAAATGGAGTGCACACCCTTAATGCCGGCTAAGATGGACATAGCATTCTCAGATTGATCGCCTTTTGCCCTCTTATTATACTCCAGATTCTGCATCCATTGATCGAGTAATTACCAAAGAGATTAGACAAGGTACCTATTAAATACTATGCGTACGGAGTAGAAGATGATATATATATATATATATATATATATATATATATATATATATATATATATATATATATATATAATTCTGGTTAAAACTAAAAATTTTAATCAAACGTGTGATAAAAATGATAAATAAAAAAGATAAAAATTTGACCCCATGTATAATTTAAAAGAGGATGGAATATTTTATTATTCATATGCTAATAAAATAGTTATATATGGAATATTTTATAATAATATTGTATTTAATTAGTTTAAAAAAAGGGCGAAGTCCCCTCATTGTAAAGGATCGAAATTCAAGTGAATATACTAACTCCTACTTTGCATTCTCTCTCTCTCTAAACTTTACTTAATTAGCTTAGACAAGATCTTCGGTGGTTTATTGCCATCAAAATGAGAATAATTTTATGTTGACTTTCCAAAAGTACATTTTATATGATGGATAAAAGTAAGATGTGATGTATAGAATATTAATAAAAAGATATGATGTGATAGATAGAGTATGAAAAAGCACTGAATAAAAATGGTTTTATAATAAAAATGGTAAGGAGTTTGTAGGAGACGGTGTCTTTGAGACGTGAAGCAGATTTTGAGAAAGAGGAAGTATGCATGCATGTATGTATGTTGGGGCCCGCGCACGTACATAAAACGGGGGACCCTTGTTGCTTTTCTTGTCATCAGGTTTTGCGGCGGGCGTATCCTTCTTCTTCTCCTCATCTTTCTTCTCCGCTGGTTGTTTTGGTTTGGAAAAGGGAGACACACTAGACACGGTAAAGCGGATATTATGAGGACTCGAAGCTAGCGCCGATAAACAGCGGACGACTACATTAGCCTGCCCTCGAAATCTCATCACGATCACTTCCTTATTAGAGTCGTCTGCAATCGCGATGAACTTTACCCCGCCCACACCCGTGATACTTGTCATAGCGCTTCGCTTCACTGTTTCTGATTGGCCTTCCTCGCAATGTACTTTCAGCACAACTTCCTGTGTCGTACGTGCGTCCCACATGCAATCCAATTAAATTATTATATAGACGAAAGGTATATATATATGTAATCATGCATGATATCATCTAAACGTACCCCGCCCCCCCCACAAACGGGGTGGGGTCAGGGGAAGAGTTTTCGTGCATACCTGGATTCCGCCGATAACGTTATTCGTGTTCTCATTCTTTACAACATACGTAGTCGGTTCTTCAGTAGGAGAATCAAGTTCAAACCCGAATGAGTGACGTAGGTTAGATTCAATAGTCACTCCGGTCCAACGGACGTTCGAGTTTGGAAATGTCGTAATTGTTACTTTATCCTTTTCAACCGCCACGTAATTCACTTCATTAAATGTTTTTGTGTTTGTGACCGTTCTCATAATTTTTCTCTGCGCATTTTCCACATTGCCCATGTTCTTCACCGGCAGCACTACTTTCTGTCACACGTTGAACGTTACCAAAACAGGCAAAAAAAAAAAAAAACTATATAATGATACTGAATGTTTTTATCATGCACTTAAATCACACTAATTACCAAAAAAGGTTTTTTAAAAAACTATATTACTCCGTAGTTGTCAAGAACTAACTCAACTAAAAGCACAAACTTGTAATTGTGACTCAAAAAATGTTTCTTATATTCTAACACGCCCCTCACGTGCAGCGTTGTTTTTTTCGAGACTTGCATATGAAACTTTATTTTTAAAACTGGGTGGCGTTAGGTTTTAAATCTGTGACATCTTAGTCAACAATGCTCTGATATCATATCAAGAAACCAAATCAACCAAAAGCTCAAGCTTGTAGTTGTGGCTCTTGATTATTTTTCCTTGTCCAATACAACTTCAAAATGTTTCTTGTGTGAAAAATGGTGAGTTTTAAAATTTAAAATTTTTGATATTTCTCCCTCCATTTTTTAAAATAGTTCTTTCTTTTATCTTTTTGCTAAACTCCACCATTGTTCCTTCAACTTTATCAATTGTGCGCAATTGGTCCTTCAAGTTTTAAAAGTCCATAAATAGTCCTTCAACTTTATGAGTTATGAACGATTGATCATTCAAGTTTTAAAAGTGCATAAATAGTCCTTTAACTACACGTCATCCCTCCTGATGAGTTCCTTTTGACAGTAAATGTTAAAAGCTAAATGGAATACTAGCTCCATATAATATAAAGTAGTCGTACCTAGTGGAATTCACTCGTATTATATGAAACTAGTATTTCGTTTAACTTTTAATATTTACTGTTAAAATGACTTCATATGGAGGGCTGACGTGTACCTGAAGGACTACTTATGGACTTTTGAAACTTGAAGGACCAATGATGCAGAACTCATAAAGTTGAAGGACTATTTATGGACTTTTGAAACTTGAAGGACCAATCGTGCACAACTGATAAAGTTGAAGGACCAATGGTGGTTTTTAGCCTTTATCTTTTTCTTTTTCCTAAAACACTTCCATTATATTTTTGCAAAATTTGACTAATATATCTAAATTAAGTTCTTGCAATATACTACATTCAATTTGCATTGATAAAATAAGTCATTTAAATTATTTGTCTCTATATTTTCTCCAATAATAAAGATATAATTAGAAGATCAAACTATAAAAATAAATTTCTCTAAAGCCAAAACTGGAATAATCATTTTAGAAAATGGATGAAGGATTTTATAATTTTTAATTTTCTATCCTACATATTATATCTTAGCCTATTACAAATTGAAGACAAAATTAAAATATAATACCCTAATTAGATGTTTAAAAGATCATCTTTTTTAAACAGAAATTGTTTTTAATAACCGAAAAAGTATAATAGACTACGTCTAAATAGTGATTTTTTTCGGGGAATTCACCTAAATAGTACTAAAACATAATGATTTTTCCAATGTAGTACCATATGTTTTTATTTCCCGTACCACGTACTGTTCAATGTCCACTGGTCATGGTTCAAGTAAATGTCCACTGGAACTAGACATTGTTCAAACTAAATGTCTACCATCAGTGGACATTGTTCCAATCATTAGACATTATTCAACTACTATTAGAAAATTAAAAAGTTTAAATGCTACATTGAGAAATGACATACTCCCTCTGTCTCAGTAAGAGAGGGACATATTGACTAATGTGACAAAATAAGGTAAGAATAATTTTATGTTGACTTTCCAAAAATACCCTTGATATATGGGTAAAAATAATACTCCCTCCGTCCCATGAAACATTTCCCGTTTCAAAAAATGGCGCGCCTTTAAAATGAGTAATTTTGGTGCTATTTTCTAATTATGATTAATCTATTCTACACATCTCATCCTACTCTTTTATAAAGTAAAGGCAAAATTAGAAAATAATACCAAAATTACTCATTTTAAAGGCGCGCCATTTTTGAAACGGGAAATGGTTCATGGGACGGAGGGAGTATATGATATTTAGATTATTAGAAAAAAGGTATGATGTGATAGGTAGAGTATGAAATATTAAGGAGTAAAAGTTGTTTCTCAATAGAAATGTAAAGGATATTGTGGGACTCCTTTTTTTTGAAACGTGAAGGAGTTTTTGGAACAAAAGAAGTATGTTTTATTTCTATTTAGTGCAAATTTCATCTGCTTTTTTGCATATAGAAATCACCCTAAATAAGACTAAAACATAGAGAAAAGTACCAAACTAGGACTTTCATGTTTTTTCCCCGAAATAGGACTTTGCACTATGGTAATGTGACAGTGTACATGTGCAAATTACTAAATTTTTTTGGTAATGTATGTGACCATGTTTGGTATTGTAAGTCCTATTTTGTGAATAAAAATATGGAAGTCTTATTTTGATTATTTTTGATGTTTTAGTCCTATTTTGGTCTTTCTTTCTTTTGCATAAGAGTAGTACTGGAAATCCACCTATTCACTAATAAGCCCAAGCGGTGTGGGGGATTGGCGTTGGTTCAAAAAAATGTACTCCTAAAAGTTTTTAATTTTTTACTCCCTTACTTTACTCCCAAACTTTGAGTCTTTGACTATATTTTTACACTTAAATTTTAATTAAAGACTTGAATTTAGAGTAAAGAGTTTGAAATCGAATTAAATACAATATTATTATAAAATATTCCATATATAACTACTTTTATTAGTATATCAATAATAAAATATTCCATCCTTTTTTTTAACTATACATGGGGTCAAATTTTTATCTTTTTGATTTATCATTTTTATCACACGTTTGATTAAAAATTTTAGTTTTAACCAGAATTAGTTTATCATTTTTTGATATAATTTATGCATATATAATATAATTTTTTATTTACATTAATATTGAAATAAATAGAATTATACTCCCTTCGGTCATATAAAAATGGGAGTTATTTATTTTTAAGAGATTTAAAGAAAGTGTATTTTGGTATTGAATTTCTAAAAAAAGTCTTTTGATGTGAAGGGTAAGAGTAGGATTTGATGTATGTATATTATTAGTAAAAGGGTATGATGTGATAGGTAGAGTATGAAAAAGTAAGAGGTAAGTAACTTTTTAATAGAAATAAGAAGTGTTTTTTAAGACGGATGAAAAAAGAAAATAATTAGATTTTCATGGATGGAGAAAGTAATTGATTTCATTCAAATATCCTAAATCCAAAATTTTCAAGTAAAAAGAACAAATGAAATTGCATTATATTGTTAATTTTTGAAAAATATGCACAAAAAACATTTCATAAACTAATACGAAGTATAAACAAATACAAGAGGAAGAAACTTACAAAAAAATAAAAAAATTTCTAAAAGTTACATTATTCGTTTGACACTTGATCAATGAAATAAAGACATTTTTTTAAAAAAATAGTATAGGAGTAAAAATCAGCTTATGAAAAATAAATGGAATGAAAAATATTAATTCAAGAAAAATCACAAGCAGCATTGTAAAAAATGGGTGAGATTTTGTTAGAGGAGTGAGATTATTATCCGTCACAAGCATTAGGTATAATTGTTTATACACATGTCAAGAAATTAGTACCTTGTCCTCTCAAATAATGAGGCATGGGATATGAGCTTTAGAAAAAGGCGAGTTTTAAAAATGTCATGAAATTTGTGTACAACTTCAAAACATTTCCAATGTAAAAATGATGAATTTAAAAAAGATG